ATTTTATAGGATCAAGATCATGCCCCCATCGGTGGACTGTAACAGTTTTGTGGTACTTGTGATTTTATGTATAATTTTAGATTTCTCTTACAAAAAAAGATGTTCATCGGGGGACACTGTATTTGAACTCTACCTATCTAGCACCCAAAAGCAGTGTATAAACGCTTCAATATTGAATGGTGTATGTATAGTAATGTGGTTGTATAACACACAGTTGAGAGTAGATCCTAGTGCTTATTCATGTTTTTGTTAACAAATAACCCTCCTGTGGAAAAGCACACCTGGTATTATAATTATAACTAAATATTATTGGTAATTATACTGTAAATACAAGTGTCAGAACATTACAACATTAACATTATATTAATATACAAATATAATGTTCCCCACAAAATAGAAAATGCAGATGATTAAATGTACTTTACATGTTGGAAAGGCATTTTCTTGCTAATGTTTATCTTAAGCAAATCAAATGAATACATCTTCCCTCTCTGTATTTATAGCCAAAGCTAGCAACACTCATAGACAGACCCTCGTACAAACTCACAGAAATCAACAAGAGACAAGAACAGAATAATCCATTGAACATAATGAGTGTATCAGGGTATTCATCTCCCACCACACTTTGGAAGGTCCTTGTCACCTACAAGTTGTTAGCATGAAGAACTTCATAGGGTTTCAATATTATCCCAAAGGCCCAAAAACATATATGTTACTCCCTGTCCCAAGGTCGGCAGTTTATATGAGTCAAATAATCAAACACAATCATGAATATGCAGCATGTGTGCAAAAGAAAAAAAACATAAAATAATAGAGGGCTTAAACTACATTTGAACACAGGGCCCCTCTGAAAGGCAGGGCAAACATGTAGGATAACTACAGTATGAAGGACTCGTCAGCTGGGACTGTATACATGTAAGATAACTACAGTATGAAGGACTCGTCAGCTGGGACTGTATACAGGCAACTTATGATTCATTCAATCAGTAAGTCATAATAAGTAAAGACGACAGGACTTCTCTTCACTGTAAGTCTGTTCATACTATTGATCTCATTCTAGACCAATTTTGAGAGTAAGCACGGAACAACCGGTTCATGGAGGGGCACCATGAGTTAGGAGGCTGTTCATTTTTGGACATGAATAAAATAATTACATTTATTAACATTAGCACAAGTTAAGATTGTATTTATGTGGTAAATGGCAGAGGGGATATTGTGCATCCTATTTTTATTTCACACACACACGCACACACACTGTGCAAATGCAGCAGGCTTCTAAGAGCCACAGTCTGTCGAGCGGCGCCCCCTGGTGGTAAAGCATATTTGAGACAAGGATTTGATATCTTTGGAGGAAAGTAAGTAATAAAGTGAGATTTCTGTTATATAAGTAATTTCATGTTTTTGTTTCACATTCTTAGTTTACCTTTTTATGTTTTTATAAATATTTGTATTCTATTTTATTGTATATTTTCTTTTTTGGGATATTTTACCTTTTACCTTTTATGTTTATCCAAATATATCCACATTCTTCCCATGACTTTAAAAATTAAAATAAATTCGAATTTAAATGTAATCTTTTATTTATTTAATTCCAAAATGGAGCAACAAAAACCCAATTTCCTCCATGAAAACTAAAGTATTTCGTTTTCTTATTCTCATCACCTATAAACCAACACTCAACACAATGATTACAAGTGCCATAACATAAAGCAATACAGACTAACTAAGATGCACACTCCCCGGTGCTTGATAGAATCTTAACTGTGTGATGATCTGATGTTACGGATGAGTGTGTGCTGTCTTCAGAGTGTGTGCACATCTCTCTACTGCTCTCTTTAACTTCAATGGTGTTCCTGTGCTGAGAGGCCCCTGCAGCCCTGTGACAATGACACCACTGTGTTATTAAGCTTTGTGCCGTACTATATTCATCTGACCCCCCCTTCATCTCCTCTTCATCTAACCCGCCCCTCCTGTTTCTCCGGCAGCTTCTTGCGATAGATCCCCTCTTTCTTCTGCCTCTCTCCAGTTCTATCTTTTATTCAATGAGCAGTGACTCAGTTCTCATCTGTCTGTTGTTAGCATGGCCGCCCACAGAGTTCCTGTCAGTCAGAGCTGAGGGCCCAGCCGTGTAGGACTGCTTAGCCTTAATGTACACAAACTGTAAACATGGATTACCACATATTCATAGTGTAATACAGTTTTTCTCGATTGCTAACACACATTTTTTTTTTAATTGCTCAGTTTCTCAGAACACTAAACACAATTCACAAAACCACACACCCAAAGTGCAAAACACCTCATGTCTCCTGCTAAGTGAAGAACTACTACATAAACACTTACCAAATGCAAGCTTTTGCACCAAATATCACACACTTCCTTCATAATACTAGATTGTTTGACCACCCAACTACACACTGCTGAGCATACTCTAAAGCACTTCCATCTTTTATGGGCTATGCTCTGTACATAGAGGGTTCTGCAGAGAAAGATTGCTTGAGTTTACAGAAATACAGTAAATGAAGAAATACAAATGAGTTGTTGAAAAAAATCATATTTTATTCAAAAATAACATTGTGCAACATGCATCTCAGCACATATAAGGGGCGTTCACACCAAGTACTTTTCCCACAGTTACTATGCTTCGGATCTCTCTAAGTGTGATGCATTGTTTGCCAGAACCCAGTTAGTAACTGCTGCTTCCTGTGCCTCATTGAACACCCTTAGCCTTCCACCTGCACCTCTTTCTCTCAGTCCTTCAGATAAACAAGAAAGATATAGTGGTTGGTCAGTGTCTGTGTTGCATAACAGTCAGTCTACCACAGTACATTGTGCAGGACTTTTGTACAGTTATAGTATGCAACATGCCAACAATTCAATTACAGTAATGAAGTAAATACGTTTCACACAACAGATATAAGCACTGATATATCATGAATTATGCAGAGCTACAAACTGGTAACTAACCTGTGTTCACTGTTCAAGTCTAAGTGTCCGGATTACATCGGCTGAGATAAGGCTGAACCCTCTGTCCAGACTCTCTCATCCTCAAACCATGGCTGATAACATTTCATTTCAGTATTCTTCTTTGTCCACGTCCTCTCCCTCCAGCTCTACCTCTACCTCTCATTCTTCCTCCTCTCACTCTCAGCCCACCTCTCCCTCCTCTTCTCACTCTCACCCCACCTCTTCCTCTTCCTCTTCCTCTCACTCTCAGCCCAGCTCTTCCTCTTCCTCTTCCTCTTGCTCTTGCTTCCATGTTGGCTTCCATTGTTGCTAAGAAAGTACTCACCTGTGGTCTTTTTATAGTGCTAACATCCTGATTGATGAGCCAACAATTATGCAATCAGGTGCTTGGTCAGGTGGAACGTGTTTCTTGATTATTGGTCCATGTGTGAGGCATTTTGAATATCAGTGTTTTAAACCAACTAACACGTGACTTTATGTCAGATTCCTGTGTCTTACGTGGAGAAACGTATGCAGTGGTTTGCAAAAAGTGCCATGTTGATTTGCAAATTGTGTGAAAAGCTGAAAACGTGTTTAGAGTTTTGGAGATTTGAGCTGATGTTTTGCTCTTTGAGTGTCAGTTGAAATAATTGTGCTTTATGTATAATTTGTGTGTGTTAGCAATCGAGAAAAACTGTAACATCATAGATAACACAAAGATACATTGCGTAATTGTGTTTATGTTGGTATTTAGTTGTGTAACAATTCAAAAATACTAAATAAATGAGATAAACTAAGGTGTAATAAAAAAGGGGAAACACCATGATGAAAACATGTGTGGATACATTTCTGCTTTTTGCTATGGGTATTCTTCTGAAAACAAATGAATTAACTAATTGTTTAGTTATTTAGGAACTTAACAATTACATTGATCTAATTTTACTAGAGTTAATTAATTTCCAGCAATTGTTTAAGTTTAATGAGACAATAAATGCATTCCTTTTAGGATAGCATCAATAATTCAATGGATTGGGGATCCACTTTGTAGACTGTATCTGACACCTTTAAAGTGTGTGTTTTTGTTTTTTAAACTGAACACAAGTATAGTTTATTAGAGAAGTCAATTGGATATGTAGGATCTCTGCAATTGAGAACCTGTTGCAATCAACATCAATCAAGCAAATCTATCAAGCGATCTGTAATGGATCCTCATTGTCTCTATACGGAAGCAGATATGAGCTGGGCTCCATCTAGTGGCATGATATGGAGCTAATCTGTTTATAGATAACTATGACCAATCTCCTGAAGTTAATGCAAACTGTGCAAGTGCATTAGTATCTCCCTGTCAGAGTATGAAAAACTGGTCCATGCCTTCGTCTCCTCAAGGCTCAACTACTGCAACGCTCTCCTCATCGGATTCTAGCACTTTGCAATGTTCTAGCACTTTGAATTGCCTTGTGTTGAAAGGTGCCATATAATAAACTTGCCTTGCCTTGAGCCTTCAGAAGCTCCAATACATACAGAACAGCACTAGGATCCTGATGAGGGTGAGAAAATATAATCACATCACACCCATTCTTCACTCGCTTCACTGGCTTCCTGTCTCATTCAGGATTCAATACAAGATCTCCCTACTAACCCATCAGTGCATGCACGGGAATGCTCCTTCATACCTCAAATAACTACTCTCACCACAAACCTCCACACGCAACCTCCGCTCCACAAACACCTGCTTCACCCCTCCAGGACCCAGCTCCACACCATGGGGGATCGGGCTTTCTGTTCAGCCGCTCCTCACCTGTTCCCTCCCAGACCAATGACTCTTTTAAGAAAGTTTAAAAAAAGCCTTATGTTTTGCAACTCACTCTTTTGTTGTAGTAATCTCGAGTAGTATAGGTACTCTAAAGCAATAAGTCAATGGAAACGAAGCTGAAGGCAGTTAAGGCAGTTTTGCTCTGAAAAACAATCAGAAAGGACTGGATACAAAATGCTCTTTTTCTCAAATTAACATTTCTATCATAGTACTGAACATTCATAATAAAAAAGAAACATGATGCTATGATTAAACATTTTTATTGTAAATATTATTCACCTTTGCGTTCCCTGCAGCGTTGACTTAAATGACTCAAATACAAAAATTGACAGACATAAAAAAAACAAAAAACATTTAGAAGTACATACCATACAGTATATACACAGCAACTTGTCATTGGGGAAAAGCTTTACATGCATTTTCCAACACCATATACATTTGATATGCAAGTTTTATATGCTGAGAAATGCATGGATCAGCATTTCATTGTAAACATGTAAAATAAAAAAAAGGAAAACCAAATAAACCTTGCAGACCATACACTGAAAAAACTGACATATTGTGTCAACAAATTTCACATAAATGTATTAGGTTAGTTGAAAGCAATAATATTAAGATGAACCTATTTAAACTTAACTATTAGACTTTTTAGAATGAATATTACGGCTTTCAACTAACCCAATATAGTTATGTGAAATCTATTGACATAATACATTTAATTAAAGTCAACGTCTGAGATACTTCAGACTGCTGTTGAAAATAACAGCTACTTTTTAAAGCTCCATCGACATCATACTTTAGACCTGTGATGTATTTCACTTTAAATAAAGCTCCTTCAAAGCCCCACAACACATTCACAGCTGTTTCCACTGGCCGAGCAGTGCTCCTCAGGAGGAGGAAACTCAAGGTAATGTGTACATTTGGAACCATTCAAATGTACACTGTAACAAAAAAAGCAAACCAGGGCCTGAAAACAACAGACACACACTGAAGCTCAATTATTGCACATACCAAAGGAGGATTAAAAAGACAATAAGTTAAAAAGAAATCCAACATTTCATTTAAAAGCAACCAAGCCATCACAATATATGTCTCACAGTAATGATAATAGAGTAAAAACAGGAATTATACTGTCATACACTAATCATCAGAATTGACTATACACCTACAATGTTAAATCCTTTTTTCCCAGCTTCAATGAGATCTAGAGACAATGCAGATCTAACAGCATGCTTAACAATTCACTTGATGTACACATGAGTAATAATACACATCTCTTCAAATAGCCATATACCAGCAAATAGCAGAGAAGAGTTAAAGTGACTGCAGTGAAATACAAATTAAAAAATGGCACAAAACTTCAAAAACATTCCCATAAGTCATTCACTTAATACCAGAGAACACATAAACACCATGATACCCTTATCTATTGTCTAGAAACCATTGAGCAGCATTTAGAGCAGAAGGTTCTTTTTTTACTTTAAACTTGTGTTTTAGCTAATCATTGGAATGACTCATGCGGCATGCCCTCTACAATAAGTACTTTTACAATACTTACAGACAACCTGTCCTTTCAATCATTGTTCCTTAGTTACTTTGAATAACATTATACTAATTCAAGTGTTTGCCTGATATCATAATGTGGAATTGAACATGCTCAGAACATTTTAGTATTTGCTTTGACAGCAGATATAAAGGTTTAAGCAGATGTGTTTGTTCCTGTTGTTAGCTTCTTGTTGTTAGTTTCCTGTTGTTAGCTTCTTGTTGTTAGCTTCCTGTTGTTAGCTTCTTGTTGTTAGCTTCCTGTTGTTAGCTTCTTGCAGCTTCATGAAAGATGAGAACGTTCTCTAACCTTTACTCAGTGCTGTGTTGCCTGAACACAATTGTACAAACAATAATCATTCTTTCTTGGCTACGAGCGGATATTGAAAGAAAACTAAATTCATACGTTGTAACATTTGAAGCTGTGTTCAGAATTAGCCTTTTCCTACTTTTTCAAGTTTAAAAAAGGTATCTATATTTAAAACAAGGTATCTATATTTAAAACAAGGTATCCATATGTAAAACAAGGTATCCATATAGCTATACTTTCATACATTCTGTTGAATCACATTTTGTTTCTATGAGATAGGGTTGTCAGGGGATACCCTAGAAATCTTAACCCCAGATGTTTTATCTTACTGACAAATCAATAATTGATGGATCACATGATTGCAAATTACACAACATGGACATTTTTGGTAGCGTTTTAAATAATCTATAGTGCTTATTATCGGCGTAGCTGGTTTATTATAGACCTTTTAAGTGTGGCACTACAGGAAGTTCCCCCCCAGACGGAAGGGGGTGAACTTCTGGGCCTGCTGAGCCCCGATCTCTGCCACATACAGAGCCCCCGTCTTCAGGTCCAGGTCCACCAGGTGGGGCTTCACCTCCTCAGCCAGCTGGATCACACTGACCACCTTGCACTGGCCGATCAGACCCACGGGGGGAGCCTCCAGCAGCGAGATCTGGTTGGTGTTCAGCTGGACCACCACAAAGTACTTCTTGTCTGGGGTCAGGCGGACGGAGTAGGGGGCGTCCTCGGAGAAGCAGCTCCCCCAGGTCCCCAGCCACTCCCCGGTGATGGAGTTGAACACCTGGATCCTCTTGTTGCCCCGGTCGGCCACCCACACCCGGTGGTACTCGTCCACGGTGACGCTGTGGGGGATGTAGAACTGAGCCATGCCTTGTCCTTTCTCTCCGTGCATCCACATCACCTCGTGGTCTTTGGACAGCTTGATGAGGCGGTTGTTCATCCCACCGTCACCATCAACAATGTACTTCTCTCCGGAGGGGTGGACGAAGATTTCAGCCGGCTGGTCGAACTGGAGGGGGTTCATCCCAGAGCCCGCCTTCCCAGGAGACCCCAGCACCTGAGAGTGAGAGGAGAGTGAGAGGAGACCACCTGTTCTCAAAGCTGGTAAAGGTGCAGCTAGTTTGAATGACTTTGTATACTGCAGGGTAGCTTGTGAATTTACTCCAGGTGGAACTAAAGTCTACATCCGTTTTTAAGGTATATAAGCTTTGGACAGTCATGAGTTTGGTATTTACTGACGTATATTATGTTTTTATGTCACAAAACAATCCTGTGTTAACCACAGACCTTATTTCAACCAAAAACACGTTTAACAAGATGGTTGACTTCTAAACGAGGGAACAGGAAGTGGTGACATGCTAACTCATTTCCGGGTTTCAGGGACTAAGTCCTGCACCACTTTATTCTACATAACAAAAGAAATACTTGAATGGAAAAGCTAGTGGAAGCCAAAACAAAGATGTTTTAGTGACAAACATAATCCTGGAAAAGCCTTTACCTGCAGGAGCTTCCCAGACGGGGAGTACTGTTTGACGCTGTGGCCGTACGGGCCGTTCCCCACATCTGTGATCCACACCGTGGGGTTGGCTGAGGCCGCGTCAGCTAGGAATATACCATGGGGCATCTCCAGGGTGGTTGTGTTCCAGGACATGAGGAACTCCCCCTCTGTGGAGAACACCAGCACCTTGGGCACATCTGCACCTGAAGGCCAAGCAAGTCAGCATTAAAGCTCAAATCAAACAATCATCAGGTTTCTAGTGATGCACCCTTTATGCATCGTTATTTAATCATGTGATCAGAATCAGAATACCTTTATTAGTCCCACAGAGGGGAAATAATGTACATACAGTGTTTCCCATAGGATGGAGACATAGCAGTGGTGCTAAGGCACGTGGGCCCAGCATAATGTGAGCGCGGAGCGCGTGGAATTTTTTAGTGTGTGCACGTGCGAAGTGCGCCCCGCCAATGTGTCTGCCAGCACAAGAAAGGCTCTTGAGGCCTAGTACCAGGGCCGGTTCTAGCCAATTTGCTGCCCTAGGCGAGATTTTATATATAAAGAATAAATGAAATATCTCTACAAAAGACAAATACACTACAAAAACAGAAACTTATTGACATAGGTAATATACGTCAAAATGGCTTCAAATGTATTCAGTATTGTATGAACATGTTTGAATTGGGGGGTGGACGTCACATCCTCTGGTATGGGGGTATGGACATTTTAAAGTAAAATGCTTCAATCTGGTGCACTTTGAGCACACAATTACTAGAGACCTGATCTAGGGGGTACAACTCTAATGGCGCATTTCCACTACAGCGCGGAGCACGGTTTAAGAGGGCTGTGACGTCAGCGGCCCGTCTTTGGTTGCGTTTCCACTTGGCCTAGTACCGGCCGGCGGGTCCTAATTCACAGTTTTTCTGGCCCCATAAAATCGCGGGTCTAGGGCCAGAGACAACGAGGCTGAGTCGGGCTGAGTATGCTAAACTAGAGAGAGCATCGCTGGCAAGGGGGCTACAACTACAACAAGATGGACATATTTGACCGTGATTTAATTGTAATACACGTTTCAAAATGATGCAGAAGTAACAACATACTGATACCGGTTAGTAAAAACCATGAATTAATGCTTTGACAAGTCTGCAGACAGACGGCAGGCGAAAAACCTTTTAAAATGCGTGTTTTCTAAATGGAGATTGGCTAAGCTAACGCAGTATATGCTCCGACCGTCCACACTCACAACAACGGCCTATACAGACATAAATAAAGCAGCGACTGTATTCACCATGACACAGGCAGTCTGTGGTTTGTACTTGTTTAACTTTTGTCTAGTTTCTGAACAGATATGAGGAGCTGTGAGCTCTGAGTGCTAACAGCTAACGGCTGTGTTGTTTTTCTGGGGTTCTCATTGAAGATCACGTCACGGCTCCGCCTACACTGCGTTACTATAGATACTACCCCAGTTCCTAAACTGTAATGGAAATGCGCCATAAAGTGAGCCAGTCCTAACGAGGCCCAGCCATACCGAGCGGGGCCGAGCGAGGCCGTGTAGTGGAAACGCGCCATAAAACACCCATATGAAAAAGATCGGTTTACATTTTAATAATCAAATAAGTATATGAACATAACCAATAACCTACCATAGCCAATAACAAATAAATGTAACTTTTTTTATTTTTGTTGTTCATTCATATCTTATTTTACCTAGTTAACATTTATTTATGCATATGTTTGTATCTCTCCAACTTTAAACGATATTTTTGGTTTACTGTCCTATAGTATACATTGGAATGATTTCAAACCTGTTTTTATTTATCCTAATAATTATAAAGGAGTGCCTTGGAAATATGTGTTTACATAATTTGTGGCCAACATCCCCCACTTTCATCACTTACAGCGCCCATCGTACAGGGCAAATGAAAAGTGTAACCGGGGTGAAAAGGGAGTTACATTTACTAAACTAGAGAATGCAATTCCTGAAGAAATTGCTAGTGGGAATGCTTTATGCTGAAAAGTAATGTGTAAGAAGAAAGAGAAGAATTTAGATTGAAATGATACATGAACACTGGGGGCTTGAATGTGTGATGAGAGAAGAAAAGAAAGTAAAAAGGCTTGGAAAAACAGCAGAATATTTGAACTGCAAACCTTTGAACTAACTTGATGGTGAATGATCTGTCGCCATGCCAACAGCATTTTTGAACATTTTCATAGGAGTTATAGCGACATCGTCTTTTATGGCGAGGGATGCGTTTCCATGGAAACGGCATATGGTGAGATCTCAGATTTGGCGTAGAGCTGTTGAGGCATGGACCGGTGATATTCAAGTGAAGATTGGGGGACGATCGGACCGTGTCCATTGGACTTACAGCGACATCGTGCTTCATGGCGAGCATTGTGTTGCCATGGCAACGGCATTTGAAGAAATCTCAAAACTGTCTCGTAGATGTCTGTATCAGCATTCCCACTAAATTATGAATGTAGTTACATCAAGGCCGAAAATTAGGATGAGCGCCAACGGTCAAAAATGTTTTTTCCACTCCCAGAGCTACCAGCGCAGCGCCCCCCAGATCTGGCGCCCTAGGCGACCACCTATGCCAAAAATCGTCCCTGCCTAGTACATACAGTGGCAATGTCTCAAGATTTAGCAAAAATACACCTTTATTGAACATACAGTAACACAAATACTACAAATCCACATAACAAACAATCAAAAATGAAAAAGGGTTGCCACTTATTATTATTTTAATTAAAAAATAAAAAGTAAAAACTTTTTTTTTTTTTTTTTTTTGGGGTACCTGGCGCTGCGCAGCCGCTATTTATATATAGGGGAAACACTGACATATCATTTACAAATCAAAGCCAACTTTATTGTCAATCTTCTGTGTGAGATCAAATGCTTTGTACACAAGCAGTTATTAAGAACGAGTTTAAGTTCCCATTATTTGCTTCTCAATTTTGACAAGGCAATGAGTCAGCAGTAAGAAAGGTTAGAAAGTATGCTGTAAATCAAATAATTTATTTTGTTTGTTTATTGTGCTGTGTGCATAACCTCTAATGCTCACTAGAGCAGTGGTTCTCAACTGGTCAGGCCTCGGGAAATGTGAACCACTCAAATCTATTCAACAAAACATCATGCTGTAATATATATACGCTTTTCAGCATACAATATGAATTAAAGTGAAGTACAGTGCATATATCCCTTATATCCCTTCACAGAACTAAAGTATGCTTTTAAATAAGGTTTAATGAGATGATGGAATCAAAGATGAACTGTATCACAAAAAGGCCCACATGCTGCAAACCCAACCCCAGAAGGGGGGTCTGGGGGATTCTCCCCAGGAGATTTTTAGAAATACTAACATATAAACTACGCATTCTGGTACACTCTGAGAAGAAAATAAATAAATCTAATACTACCCGACATATTAATAATATGTTATGCCATTGTTTGATTTTCACTTTGTTCTGACAGCTGAACTTGTCTGTGTGAATTGTGGGTAGGGTAGATAGCCCCCATTGTTCTGTGACCTGTCAATAGGGATGGGTATCGTTTGAAATGTATCGATTCCGATTCCGCTTATCGATTCTGATTCCGGTTCTTATCGATTCCCCGTTTCGATTCCAAAATTGTAAAAGAAAGAGGTCAAACGTTTAGATAACAAAAATATCTTTATTCTTTTAAGCTTTAACTGAAATGTTTACAAATAAAACATATACATGCAATACAAATGTATTGCACAATAGCTGTGCTTTATTTTAACTGAGCTATGCCTGTGGCAATTACAGGCAGTGTACAGGCATTACACTGTACCTTGTCTTTTTCTTTTTTAGTGTAGTGGAGCCTCACTTTAGAGCGTTTACCGCGATCCATCTATGGTGTTATGAAGTGACTGAGCTCGTGAACTGTCTATGGGAGGGCGGGGGGAGCCTCGCTGCAGGGCAACTGTGGACCTCTGTCGCCTGTCAGCGCAACTTACATGATGCCGTTTAAAAAAATTAAGGGCGGTGCCAGCCGTCAGCGTACCGAGCTGGTCGTCAACGGCCCGCTGACGACCGGCCGTTCTGTGATTCTCACAGATGGCCAGTCCGCCCTTACCCTGTATTCCACCGGGCAGACGGACCCGGTGGAATACAGGGTCTACCGCGTTTAGGAACCGTTAAGCAGAACCAAAATTGTGTATTTTGTATGGGTACCCGGTATTTTCTTATCGGTTCTCATCTGGAACCGAGTTTCGGTTCCCAACCCTACCTGTCAATCATCAAACCGGGGGTCATATTTGATTATGTGTTCATTTTTATCTGAAGTTGTACCCATGGATGTATAAAGAACAGTTCTACCGCAAAAATATTTTTGTTTTTTTTCTTCACGTCGCGACACACCAGTTGAGAACCACTGCACTAGAGCACAACATTAGGATTATTTGTTGCTAAAAAGAGTCCCCAACAAATACACAATTTATTTCTAAATGTGGTAAAATGATCCTTTACAAACTCAGCTGGAACCAATGGGCTTGGGGCTGAGAGCATCTTGATACACATCCACCAATATAAAGAGTCTATTGCACACAATTATCAGTTTGCATAATTTAACACAAAAAATATGTAAAACCTCTCAGAGCACATTTTAGCATTCTGAGGAAAATGTCAGAGTTCTGCATTATCAAGGAAAGATATAATTGATTTGGCCTCAGGCTAAACTCCTTAACCAGAAGTATAGTTCATGTGTAGAAAATCTACAGCTCTGGAAAAAATAGACCACTCCAAATGTTTCTTAAATCTCAATCTACATGTATGGCAGCCATTCCATTCCAATGTCTGTTGAATTCCAACACAGAGAAATGCTGTCAGTAGTAAATATAAATAATAATAATAATAATAATAATAATAATAATAATAATAATAATAATAATAATAATAATAAAAGAAAGGTTTTTTTACTCAAACACATACATATATATAGCAAAACCAGAGAAACTGCACATGTTGCAGTGGTCTGCATGAATCCTCTCAAAGAAAACATACAGATAGTGAAAGTGTGATCTATTATCAAATACGTTTGTTTTAAATGGACTTCTCAAGTAACTTTACATACAGGAGACTCTTGTCTTACTTTACTTGATCTAAAATAATACAATTAAGTTGACTTAATCAGCTCATTTTATCTACGTACAAAAAATGAAGCAGTTTACTCAAGGACTGGTGTTTCCTGATCTACAGAAGGAACTGATACAACGTTTCCTTCAGTTCTTAAAGAGCACCAAACAGGATCTTCTTCATTCTTTACACACCAAATAAAGCGAAATGTAGATTTGCCAGTTTTTGAAGAAGTATTCAGATACTTTACTTAAGTTAAAGTACAAATACTATGGCCATAAAATACTCCACTACAAACAAAAGTTGTGATTTCAAAATGTTACTAAGGTAAAAGTACAAAATGATTAGCATCAAAATGTACTTAAAGGTGGGGTAGGTAAGTTTAAGAAACCGGCTCGAGATCGCTAGAATTTGAAAATACACAGCCGGAAAAAATCTGCCACTTCCTTATAGAGCCCCTCCTCCAACACACACGAACGCGCACATGACCAATAGAGATGGGCGAGTCCTGATTCATCCGGATCATTAACCCGGATCCTAGAAATGAGCTGGTCGTGACGAGTCTCCCCTCTCGATTAACCCGAGTCCCTTGAGTCCCACACTTGGTGTGACGTACAAATTAAAACTATAAATTGCGTCACTCGCTACTCTCTTTATAACATGTAAAATCACATTACAACGTACCCCAGTCCATCTGCCTACCCTTTAGCAAGTAGGATAGCTGCCAGAAGTGATCGTTTGGCTCAGGGGAGGGGACGCGGATCAGTGAAACTTCCTGCAGACTCGTGGGGACTCAGAGGAGCCGACGGCTCCTAACCGTAATAGCATAGCAGATCCAGAGATCCGTACTCGTCATGTGCACGAGCATAGCCCCTCCTCCAGCACCCGGCTCCCGCGCTATATTATGCACGAGTCAACAGCAGACTCGCAGATTCGCAAATCCTGACTCACTGTGCAAAACATAGCAGACTCGTGCGGACTCAGAGCCGTAACCATATAGCAGCAGATCCAGAGATCCAGCAGACTCGTCATCATGCACGATTCAACAGCAGACTCAGATTCGCTAAATCGCAAAATGACCTTTTTTTTGTGATCAATATGTTTTATTAAAGCAAAAGACACCACTTTACACACATTTAACACATACAAACACCAGTATTGCAATGATTACGCAGTCCATGAGAAAATATGGGGGGCATATGATTAGATATAATTATATGTTTAATAATAATAATTGTATAATTAAAATATTCTAACTGTTTTCTATGGGCTCAGAACAGTCTCATAATACACACATGCATACAGAAGGATTCACACTTGTATTTCATGATCCGCAAAAGGAGTCACACTTGTATTTCCGGATCCACACTTGTGTTTGTCAATGCACACACAAATGTGTTCCGTTTCATATACATGTAAATAAAATCCAAATACAGAAAAAAGTTTTACATATGTATTTTTGATCCTCACATATTTGTTTTCCGTTTAAAACCGCTGCACCTGCAAACACAAACCGCTTTCTGTGCATGGATCGCTGTGCATTCGTGTGTGGGTTTTTTGAGACTCCCCTGACGGTGAACCGATTCGTACTTGTAATTTTTTCTATCTATAGCCAATCAGATGTCTCCTCAATTCTAAGCCAATCACATGAGCGCGCCCCCACGAGGGTAGATTTCTTGCGTTCATGTCACTTCATATACGCATTTTGCGCTGTCCGGAGCAGGGTTTCCGCAGACAGAATTTAACTTTACCGGACAAATTTGAAACTTACCGGTCATGTTTCAATAATAAGAAGAATAATAATAAGAATTGTGTAGCAGAGTTTCTGTTAGCAGGTAATTACCGGACTATGACCGGATATGGCTAATAACACGGGAGTAAGGATCATCTCTTTTCCTCTCTCCCTCCCTCTCTCCTGACAGCCCGTCAGTTTCTCATGCAGCTCGCTAAAACTTCACTCGCGTTTATGTCCATATCGATCAGATCCAGCTCTCCTGATCGGCCTTTATAGAGAGCACCGATCAAACTATTAAGAGTGAATATCGGCCGATAATGACCGGCGGGGCTCCCCCCGTTGACAGTTCACTGTCTAGCACTGGCTTCGTAGTGCACTGATCGATTAGGCTAAGCTAATCTGTAGCTGCTCCCTCCACACTCACAACAACTTCATACAGACATAAATAAAGCAGCTGTATTCGCCATACAGGAAACACACATTTAAAACGGTTTTGCCTGCCGTTGTTGTGTACACAAGCATTCATTAATGGTTCGGAAAGTGGCACTGTACCTTAATAATATAAAGACTTGTATTTGCGTGCATTTCCTGCTCGGAAAGTGGCAATGTACTGAGAGTGGAGGTGTCCTGAGATTAGCGCCTGCAGGCAGGCTCCATGGACCTGTCAGCTCCGGGCAGCGCAAAATGCGTACATGAAGCGCTACGTCATGAACGCAAGAAATCTACCCTCGTGGGGGCGCGCTCATGTGATTGGCTTAGAATTGAGGAGACATCTGATTGGCTATAGATAGAAAAAATTACAAGTACGAATCGGTTCACCGTCAGGGGAGTCTCAAAAAACCCACACACGAATGCACAGCGATCCATGCACAGAAAGCGGTTTGTGTTTGTAGTTTGTTTTAAACGGAAAACAAATATGTGAGGATCAAAAATACATATGTAAAACTTTTTTCTGTATTTGGATTTTATTTACATGTATATGAAACGGAACACATTTGTGTGTGCATTGACAAACACAAGTGTGGATCCGGAAATACAAGTGTAAATCCTTTTGCGGATCATGAAATACAAGTGTGAATCCTTCTGTGTGCATGTGTGTATTATGAGACTGTTCTGAGCCCATAGTTTTGCAATTTTCTATCATTTGTCATTGTTTGTTTCTTTTTGTGTGCTATGTTCAAAATAAACGTTTTGCCAAGTAAGATCCTTATTGGAAATGCAGCTATTACACGCAGGAGACTGTAGCACAACATGACAATTTTGTTAGAAGTCTACACTGAAACTTCATTTAGAGCCGGAAACATAATGGACTTAATCAAAATCGCGGGATCCGTGAATCCAGGTCAATGATCGAGAGAGACCAGTAGCCTACGAGTCAGCGGAACTTCACAGACTCAGATTCGCAAATCCTTACTCACTGTGCAAAACACAGCAGACTCGTGCGGACTCAGAGCCGTAACCATATAGCAGCAGATCCAGAGATCCAGCAGACTCGTCCTCATGCACGAGTCAACAGCAGACTCAGATTTGCCAAATCGCAAAATAACCCTTTTTTTTGGTGATCAACATTTTTTATTAAAGCAAAAGACACTGTGTAGCGGAGGTTAATGTAACGTCAGTTTAATATGCTCGTGAAATGCAACAACTTTTCGGTTTCACCGATAGGATTTCTATGGTCTTGGTGATGCTGACTCATATGACTCAAATGACTCGTATGATCCGGATCTCTTCAATGACTGACTCAGAAGACCCTGAGTCCGTAAAAGGATCCGGATTTGCCATCTCTAATGACCAATGAGGGCACGAGATAAGTTTGTGCACAGATGGAAGGCTGACAGGCAGGTAGGCCATCCAGTTATTTTAGCCGGGCCGGCTAAAATGATTGGTCGTGCTTTTTACAGTACTACGGCTTCCACAGATGACATTTTTTTATGGATTTTTTGTCAAAGCACTTAAGATATTTATTGCTATCGGGATGTTAAGAGCATTCCATGGAATATAACAACAAGTGTATCTCGAGCCGGTTTCTCAAACTTACCTACCCCACCTTTAAAGAACGAAGAGTAAAATTACTCATTCTGCACAGTGACCCATTTCAGAATAATATAAAGTATTTAAGTTTTATCAGTGAACTTCAAGTTAAAAAAATGAAAGTACTTGTTATGCAGAATGGATCTTCTGACAGTATTTGATCATTATGTATAATATATGATCCTGTTTTTATACATGTTGTAGTTTGTCTTTGTGGACCAACTTTACATCTTGAAATACTAGTAACATTTACAATATTTGCCTCTGTAATGTAACAGAGTATAACAAAATGATTTAGGTACAGTACTTGAGTAAATGTACTTAGTTACTTTCCACCACTGATGGCAGTAGATTTAAGACAGAAGTTGTAATACAGCATGTGTGTGTAAGGGGTTGTAGCCCAGTCATTTTGAATTGCAATGGAAACCATTAGAAATGTGACCGTATGATCAGATCGTATGATCAGATAGAGAAGCACTTTATTTGGAGGTCAAAACCCAGCGTGCACACCTGTACTGTTGCTGCTGATAATCCCTTCATTTGGCAAAAAGGAAATAGCAGTGAGGAAAGAAACACAGCAAATAACAGTGGTGGAATGCAATAAAGTACTTTACTTGAGTACTATTTCGAGGTACTTGGACTTTACTTGAGTATTTTCAATTGAAGTTACTTAATACTTTTACTCCACTACATTTTAGAAGCCACTATTGTAGCCTACTTGTACTCCTCTACATTTATCTGACAGCTTTAGTTCCTTTACAGCTATCAGCTAAATAAAAGCAAACGTGAGAATACTCCTTTTGCAGAATGGATCTTCTCACAGTATTTTGTATTATGGGAAGTACTGCATACATTAGCATAACATGTGATCTGAGGGGAATGTATTGTTGTTTGTTTGAATTTGGCTGTGTGCCATTTTGTAAAGCACTTTGAGCTGCACCTGCTGTCTGAAAAGTGATATATAAATAAAGATTTTTTATTTTTGTATTATTATATAATTTGTTTTTATGTAACTACTAGTAACTATGAGTGTTAAAATAATGGAAGTGGAGTAAAAAGTATAAATCGGAGTAAATGAAAAATACTCAAGTAGGCTACAGTAGAAACATGTCTAAAAGTACTTTAGTATAATACTTGAGTACTTAGTTACTTTTCACTCTGAGATGTGCTCCAGCTTGATGGACTGTGAGTTCATATATTTACCTCTCTGCGCCACATACACCACCCCCGCGTTCTGGTTGACCGCCACCCCGAACACCTGTCCGCTGAACAGCTCCGGCTTCCGGGGCCAGCTCAGGTCCAGCTGGTACAGCGGGCTGCCCCGGAGCAGGTAGCCCGGCCGCAGGATGGAGCCGCCCGCCTGCTGGGGCCCGATGGTCCCGTACAGCACAACCATGAGCAGCACTAAAGCAGCCATACCAGACGCTAGCAAACACGTATGGCCTCTCTTCTTATTCAGCATCAGTGGTTTGGCCAACGGCTGCTTTTTCTCCTTTAGTTTCCTGGTCAGGTGACGACAGCTCGATGTGTAACAGGATGATTAAACACCGCAGAGAGAACACTCACTTTACTGTAGCGTTAGCAGCGAGGTATGCTGCTATTCAAGCAACGCTTTAATGTTGTTTGTTACGATTATTTAAAGTTCAGATCCAAAGATTTAAATGGAATGCACTTCCTCTATCCAGAAACGAAAACAAAGCAGAGTGTGCAAGTGAAAAACATGTAGCATTTCCGTTGAATGTATCACAATAAAAGCATTACATTACCAAGATACATATTATGACTTATAATTCTCATGTTCTGAATCCGGGTCCGTGTACGGTCAGTGTACGTTTTGTTAGTTTGATTTGTCGTTTAAACCAAAAGGCAAAAAACGAAAATACCAGCCTAACCAAACCAAAAGGGAAACCAAAGCCGGTTTTCCGTTTTTGTTGTCTGAATCAAAAGAAGGATAACGAGAAAACCTAATTAAAAAAAGTCTACGTTTTGTTAGTTTGATTTTTCGTTTGAACCAAAAAAACGAAAATACCAGCCTTTTTTCCTTTTAAATCAAAAACGAAAAAACGGGAAACCAAAGCCGTTTTCCCGTTTTTGTTGTTTGAATAAAAAAAACGGATAACAAGAAGACCTAATTAAAAAAACGGTCCGGTTTTGGTTTTTGATAACAACTTCATTCAATTTTCCGTTGTGTATTGAAGAATGAAGAAAAACAGTCCGGTGGACCGGAAGTTAAAGAACACATTTCAAAATAAAAGACACGAGGATATAATGACAATGCTGTAAAAGTTCAATCCTGGAACCCAGAAGTCTGACGAGGATACGTTTATTTCTGCATTCACATGCAGATATGCGTTTATGGAGAATACAAGTATTCAAGCTCTTTGCATAACTTTATTTCGCTGACTTCCGGTTTGTACTGTGTCGGCAAATCCAGTGTCCAGCTTGTCGGTGTGTGACAATGTCATGTTTGTTGCATACCTGCAAGATTGACCTGTGACAAATGTCAGCGATGTGAACAGAACCGTCGCCCTACTTTCACCTGCACCCAGCAGCAAGCGGGAGAACGATATTTCATACAGTCGACCCCTAAAACAGTTCACACAGTAATGGAACAGTTGTTAACCATGATTTTGTCCAACTAGTCTATATTATGAATTTGATGTTTGTCTAAACTGCTAAGAAGCTGACAGCTGAGTTAGAACAGAAAGACATGCAGGCCATAATCACTAGACGCTCAAAAGAGGAATGTGTGTGTAAGGCTTACATGAACTGAATTGAAACACTGTCCATTAGTTGATTAATAAACAAGAAATTCAAGTCAAAGTTTTAGGCATTTTCATTTTTAGCACGCTGTAAATATGGACTATGAATGAACACATGCAATGTGGAAACACACAAATAGGTTTATTCTTAATACTCATAACAGTATCAGACACAATGACTTTACTGAGAGTGAAGATGACGTGAACATAGTTACTGTATGGTACTGAAGACAAAATACAGTATATTGCATTTACCTCTTCCTCTAACTCTCTCTCCAAAATTGGCCTCCATTGTTGTGCACAACAAAGTGTTCAAGCTCAGGTTTCTAAGTGATCTAATTGGTTACGTGGCTTTTAACATGTTTCTGGGGGCAGGGGTTTGATAATTGAGTGTGGTATTTCAGTGGCAGTGTTTAGAAAACAACACACAGGCTGTTGGTTTTGAATAACGTGTCTAATGTAAATAAGAGTGTGTAGTTATTTGGTCAATCCAGTGTCCAGCTTGTGTGACAACGTCATGTTTGTTGCGATACCTACAAGATTTACCTGTGACAAATGTCAGCGATGTAAACAGAAATGTCGACCTACTTTCACCTGCACCCAGCAGCAAGCAGGAGAAATGTTTCAAGTTGTACTTATGAAGTTACGTCTACAATTAGGAGGGTGAGTAATTAAGCTTTTATTTCTGTAACGTTAAACTTATTGTTTTTCTTCAACAAGTTTGACTACATTGAAAGACAGAGGAGGGACAGTATGTGCATTCTTAATGAACATACTTTGTATTTTGTATGTGTCAGGGTGTTATGCTGCAGGTCCATGAAGACAGGCCCCACAGTGAGTTCAGGATGAAGTGTTGTTACTGTCTTATGGCGCATTTCCACTACACAGCCTCGCTCGGCCTCGCTCGGTATGGCTAGGCCTCGTTAGGACTGGCTCACTTTATGGCGCATTTCCATTACAGTTTAGGAACTGGGGTAGTATCTATAGTAACGCAGTGTAGGCGGAGCCGTGACGTCATCTTCAATGAGAACCCCAGAAAAACAACACAGCCGTTAGCTGTTAGCACTCAGAGCTCACAGCTCCTCTTATCTGTTCAGAAACTAGACAAAAGTTAAACAAGTACAAACCACAGACTGTCTGTGTCATGGCGAATACAGTCGCTGCTTTATTTATGTCTGTATAGGCCATTGTTGTGAGTGTGGACGGTCGGAGCATATACTGCGTTAGCTTAGCCAATCTTCATTTAGAAAACACGCATTTTAAAAGGTTTTTCGCCTGCCGTCTGTCTGCAGACTTGTCAAAGCATTAATTCATGGTTTTTACTAACCGGTATCAGTATGTTGTTACTTCGGCATCATTTTGAAACGTGTATTACAATTAAATCACGGTCAAATATGTCCATCTTGTTGTAGTTGTAGCCCCCTTGCCAGCGATTCTCTCTCTAGTTTAGCATACTCAGCCCGACTCAGCCTCGTTGTCTCTGGCCCTAGACCCACGATTTTATGAGGCCAGAAAAACTGTGAATTAGGACCCGCCGGCCGGTACTAGGCCAAGTGGAAACGCAACCAAAAACGGGCCGCTGACGTCACAGCCCTCTTAAACCGTGCTCCGCGCTGTAGTGGAAACGCGCCATTAGTTACCGTCTGGTTGAACATGTTCCTGGGGATTCGGCTCATTTTAGACAGGTTAGACACAGCCAATAGTAAAACATAAACTTGAAATCAAATCAAATCAAATCAAGGTTTATTTATAAAGCACATTTAAAAGCGATTTTTGGTCGGGCCAAAGTGCTGTACATGTAATAACTACAATCACATAAAAACACATTTCTATAATCACAATAAAAGACAATAAATTACAACAGATATTTAAAAAGAAAACACAGGGAAAAGTCAGGAGTCGTGCTCCGCTCTGACTAAAAGGCCAGGGAGAAGAAGTGTGTCTTAAGAGTAGATTTAAAAACCCCTAGGGTCTGGGCCAGAGTGTTCCAGAGCCTCGGGCCAGCTGCTGCGAAGGCTCGGTGCCCTCGGGTTTTGAGCCTGGTCTTGGGCACTATCAGCAACAGCTGGTCAGCAGACCTTAAAGCTCTGGCTGGGGTGTAGCGCTGGAGGAGTTCAGCTATATAGGCCAGAGCCAGCTCATTTAGTGCTTTAAAAACAAATAAAAGGAGTTTAAAATCAATTCGGAACCGAATTGGAAGCCAGTGCAGTGAGGCCAGAATTGGGGTGATGTGGTCACGCTTTTTGTGGCCAGTGAGTAGACGTGCAGCTGCGTTCTGGACTAGCTGCAGGCGTTTAATTGACGCCTGGTCCATACCCACATACAGAGCGTTGCAGTAGTCCAACCTCGAGGTAACAAAGGCATTAATAACCCTTTCTAGGTCCTCAAACGATAAAAACGACTTGGTCTTGGCCAATAGTCGTATTTTAAAAAAGCAGGTTTTGACTACGCTGCTGACCTGCTTATCGAATTTAAAAGCGCTATTGAAGGTCACTCCAAGGTTCGTGACAGAGGGGAGGATATTATTTTTGAGGGAGCCCAGAATATCAACCTGGGAGGCTGGAGGTTGGGGTCCAAAAAAGATAACCTCAGTCTTGCTCTCATTGAGGTTGAGGACATTTTGGCTCAGCCAGGATTTGATCTCTGCTAAGCAGTCCATCAATAGCTGTAATGAGTTTACATTTGAATTGAGTGGCAGATAGATCTGTACATCGTCGGCGTAGCAGTGGAAGGGGATGTTGTGTTTTGTGAGAATTGAACCTAGGGGCAGTATGTACAGTAGAAAAAGGATGGGGCCCAAAATCGAGCCTTGGGGAACCCCACAGGTAAGAGGGGCTATGGCTGAGGAGAAGGCACCTAGCTGCACTGAGAAGCTACGGTCTGTCAGGTAGGACCTGAACCATGCAAGGGCAGAGCCTGTGATGCCAGCGGACTGTTATTTAATATAACTAGCACAAGGTAGCTACTCCCCAGAAATTGACTGACTGGTCTGTGTGTGCTGCACAGAGGTCACAGTTGTGTTTTGTTCCTGTTCTGTTGTTAAAGAGTTATTTTTCTTCGTTCATAGTATAAAAGTAAATCAATTCATATCAGTATGTATAAGAAGTTGTAAGTAGAAAACATTTAGGAAAAAGATGACTTCTTATTTACTCCTTAAAATAGCACAATGTTATTAAACCAAAATGTAAAATAAATAATACAAAGCAAACTGAATACGTATTTATTTTGTTTCTCTTCTTACAGGTGGGGCTGAAAGACTCGACCCCCGTTGAGCTGGAGCATCATGGCTGCAGGTGTGACGTGTGTTACTCTCCTGCTCCAGTCACATGACTCCCAGTGGGTCCCCAGTACTCAGCTGTACAGAGCAGCAGTGGTACAAACCAAGAACTATGGCAAGTCTGAGAATAATGTCATTAAATACTAAAACTACACACTCATCATGTCTCATGCACACATCATCTCATCATTTCTATATCTTGCTTAAACCCAGTGTGTAAAACCAGGCCCGGTAGAGCACATGGCTGGGATGTCCGCAATCCAAAGCAGAGAACAATGTCAGAGAAAGTAAAGTGAGAGATTAGTAGTTATGTGAAAGTAAGCTATGCACACAGAATAGTTTATGTGTTGATGTCTCTGAGAGCTGAGAGCTGCTGGATCTGTCTGCCCTCAAAGTGCCAGGGATCTACAAGGACTTCACTGCTGCTTCTGCACCATAGGTATCCCTGTGAGGTGCCACTAGTGGACTCTGCTCTCTGTAAAGTTCAAGCTGGCAGTCCCCTTGTCATATGAACATCACCATGACAGCGAGAAGTCACACCGCTGCCCACCACCATGCTCCACCACGGCCAGATCTACCACTGGCTGGCTACAGACTACAACCATCTGCATGCATTTTTTGTTGTTGTGAACATCAACAGCTGCCCTGAAGGGGATAGTTCTGGTCTTTTGAAGTGGGGCTGTATGAGGTTCTTATCCAGTCAGTGTATAACCTCCAGAAGACAGCTGTCGGCACGACCCCAGTTAGTAGGAGAGACAGGAGTACCAGCACAGCAGCAAAACCTATTTTGTCCACCCAAAAATGAAGGCCCATCTGAAAAAATGGCTATATTTAGCATTAAATAACGTACACTTAAACTGATACAGCTTTTTT